TACCGCCTTGATTAACTAACCGAAACACATCAAAGCCAATTAGCCCAATAATTATAGGAATAACAAATAAATATTACTATGTGCGAAAATGTGAAGACAACTGAAGGTCGTACAGCTCATAAAGCAACTGAAATAGTTTATAAACAAATTTCTAGAAAGTGAGCGAGACGCACATAATTAATAAAAAATATATAATAATAAAACAAATTATGAGAACTACATGGGATTAAATAAAATGTAATCGATGATTTCCGCCTTTTGCCACTAATTCTATTAATGCAGCTATTGAATTAATTGAATGCATGATAAATTGTAGAACAACAACAACAGCAATGTCTACATATAAATTAAATGCAAATTGTGTATTTAGAATAACAAAAAACTTAACTCGTATATTGAGCAGCCAATTGGAACAATGCAAAATTTTTGCAATTCCAGCAACAACAATTTCAAGGTTTAACATTGGCCACGATTCCAACTCGTATAATTAAAAAAAAAAAAAATAGCTACAAAAAATAAACACAAATAATTTTTTGGCTCAGACCTTGAGTTCGAATTGAAAATTGAATTGCAACGAGTTGGCCGAAATGCACTTTGTGCCCAGTATCTAGCGGGCATCTAATATATATATATATACATATATATATCGATATTAACTGATATTTGTGCACTAACTCGTTTGCTCTAGCAGCCACTTAATTCTGTTCTATCGCGTACCTTTGAAGCCAATAAATTGCGTCGTCGTCGCTGCCATTTTGATTACATTTTTTTGTGATTATTTTTTTGTTTTTGTCTATATGCATGTATATACATATATATATATGTATATACGATATATAGCTACAAGTTTCAAGCTGCAAGCCGGCCTTGATATTTTGCAAAAATTTATTTATGAAATCAAATGCAGGCGAACGAGCAACTGCGAGAGCGACAGAGCTGGAGACACATAGCGACAGCCAGCGATACTTGTTGCATTCATTATATCTATCTTATAGAGCGTTCGATTGAATGACTTGTCTCAGCTTTTTCTGTATCTGTAACACGTAGACAGATTACTATGCCTCTTGACTTGAATCTCTATCTAGAAAATATAAAAAAACTGTATATGCTGCTGCTGCTGTTTGCTGAAAAAGCAGGAAGCCTTAAGCTTGAGCATTGAGTTTGCATTGAAATGCGCCAAATCCATTGAAAGTGCGCAAATAATTGCCTTGCAAGATGATGCCAGTTAGAGAGGGAGAGAGAGATAGAGAGATGCCCATGTTCAAGCTTAAAATTTGAAATCTTTTAACTTATGCGAAAGAAATTTTATATTATAAATTTGGATTTGTTTGCACTGTGTTTGAAAAGATTTTGTTAGCATTCAGTATTCAAATTTATGAATTCATGCTACAATTGTAATCAAATTCATCTTTACTCGTCTGTGTTTGTATATGTCTGAAATTTCATCTCATTTACTCGCATGCATAAAGGGTTTTTTTTTTAAAGCTTGTCAGCTTTAAGTTAGCTTCTTTGCTTTATTTGCCAGTTTATTTAACTGCTGATAGCCGCTTTTTATTGAGTTTAGTTTGACATTTTGTTGTGACTTGACAACGCTTGCAAATTATTCAAATTTTTATCAAAGTATTGTTTCTGTTCGTTAAACTTAGCGTTCATTGTATGGCGTCAATAATGCTGAAGCTCATTTTTGGTTAAATGGGTAAACAAACAGAATTATTGCATATGAAGTGAGGATACTGCACAGGCAGAAAATTATTAGCTGCTGGGCTCATCATTCCATATGCCTTCAAATATGATGCAAAAATTATGCTGATTGTGATGATTCTTAAAATTGGTGCTCCAGATTTTCCAGACTCGACAGCTGTATGGTCGGAGTCATGCTTACAAATTAATGTCATCAAAATTAAAATACAAAAATATAAATTAAAAATATATTTCTTTATTTTATTTTACTTTAAACTTATGTAACTCTAAGAATAATTCTAAATTTATTCTTGTTTAACTTGTGCTAAAGAATCTTAACATTTTCTTAGAGAACTTTATAAATTTGGAATAATTAATCTAGACCTTGACAATGTTAGCAGTTTTAAATTGAAAACTATAGAAAATTGAAAAGGTAATTAAATACTCGTATATGGGTTTCATTAATGATTTATATATATATATTAAATATGAGTCTATATGAGTTAAATTCTTGACAGATTCTTTCTGCTTATGCCAAAACTTGAAACTTGATCTTCCCTTTATCTATATATATTCTTGTCTTATACAACATATACTGAAACAACTTATCATCTTATGACACTTCATAAATCGAGATTGCGTTTTAGTTCTCTGATTACCTCGAAGACTAAAGCAGCTGAAGTAGCAGAATTTGCTATCTGAGCTTTGATTAAATACAAATTTTAATTTCACTTCCGATTCTGTAGCTATCTCAAGCCAGCCTTGTTCGTCTGTCTGTCATACAAACTTAAGCTTGATTTGAATATTTCTAAACAACTTATACTCAGACAGCTTAACTGTCTCCTAACCCAGCTGAACAGAACAACTCTTAGCATATCAATATCTCTCATCGCCGCCATTTGGTCAGCTGAAAATGTTGATTAAAGCTGCAGAAATAATTGCAAACTATATTTTCTATGTAAATACAAGCACTAGCTAGCTGAGCTGAGTTGAGCTATGCTAAATTATAAAAATGTTTAAAATAATACCAAAAAAAGGCGTTGGGTTTGCTGCTGCGAATCGCTCAATCTATGGCCTAAGGAAGCAACAAATTGCTGACTTGATGCGCTGCTGCTGCTGCTTCTGCTGTTGCTTCAACTACTACTGCCCAGCCATGTCCATCATAATCAACGTCCATCATCAGCTGCTGCCGCGTGCTCTGTTGACACACCCACCAAGTGGCTACTGCACACGGCAACTGCCAATTCGGTTTCTTGTTGTTCGCGCTGGCTACTTTTGGCATTGCCCGCCTCCAGCGCTGCCAGCCAGAGTCATTTTTCATCATCAGAGCCAGCGAGCCAGCGAGCCAGAGAGGAGCAGATCCAGAGCCATCTTCGAGCTACCAGTTTTTGTTTTTTTTTCCGCTCCGTTCTTATTCCAAGGGACTCGGCAGTTGGCTCTTTGTATAGGCGCCCATGTACGAGTCGTCGCGTATCTGATATTAGAATCTCAATTAGTTTTCCACTGTCTTTATGCGTATGTTCTCGTTCGTGTGTGGGGGCATTGTAATTTGCTTTTGGGGCAGGTTTTCGAAACATCGCAGATGAAATGCTGCAGAAAAACAAAAACAAAAACGAAAACATTTCTGGAAAGGCGTCACACTCAATGTAATAATCAAAACACGTTCAACTATTTACGGCATTACAATATTAAAAAACAAAATTAATGCAAGCTGCAACGACAAACGGCATTTGAATAAATTAGTGTAATAGACACATTAAACAACAGCAACAAATAGTTGTATCTAGGAAATATCAAAAAACTGGTAGCTGCCCGAATAGTAAAAGCCCCGCAGTTACAATTATAGCAACAAATACATATGCAAGTGTGTGTGTGTATTTATATGAATAAGAAGAAGAAAAACTAGTAAGCGAATTGCTACTGGGCGCGACTGACTTGATAATACTCGTTCAGCACACAAATTTACAGCAGAATTTTAAAGAAATTATTTTTGAACATTTTAAAAATGTATTTTAATATTAATATAATTTATATAAAATAAAAAAATATTTACTAAAATTATTTTAAAATTAGAAAATTTTATTTTACTATAAACAAATTAAGTTCAAATATATTTTTAATATATATAAAATTTATTTTAAATTTAAATATTTTTTTGCAATACAAAAATTTATTTAAACTTATTTTAAATTTTAAAAAATTAATTTAAAATTTATTAGAATTTAAAAAAAAAAAATAAGTTTAAAAAATATGTATTTGAAATTTATGGTTTATTTAAGAGTCAATTACTGAATTTCTCACGTTGCATTGGTCAGATGACATTTATGGCGTATATGTACAAATACCCACCTGTGATTCACCTGCAAAATTATGCAAATTTATCCAAACAACTGTGAGATATGTAAGTTTTTCGCAATTTGCCACGCCTCAAAATGAGTGAATATATAAATTTTAGAAATATGTTGAGAGGGCTCTAAAGTAACTTAGACTTGGCTGCAGCCCTTAATCTGCGCCACACCCCCAACAATTTAAAAGATATTATATACAAGTTTATAGATACATACATTACATATATATATATATATATATATATATATACATATATTATTTGCCTATATATAATACCATACACTTTATTATTTGCCTTATCCCTAACTTTAATTTTGCATTCAATAATAATGCTTACAGTTTAAATTATGAAGTATAATTTTTTATATAATTTTGACACGCCTACAAGACGAGTGTACATATGTCTACACATTCAAAATTAAAAAACTCTAGTCTCTAGACGAAGGGACATTGCACAAAGCCAATATGCCCCAATATGCTGCTCATGAGCGAGTATAGAAACCACAAAAACAACTATAACGAGGTGCTGCTGCTACTTAGCAAGAATGCAACTAAAAACAAAAATATATATATATATATAAATGAAAAAAAAAAGCTTAAATATTTTTCAGCATATGAAATAATAAAAAATAATACAAAAAAAAAAAGAAAAAAGTGCAACAGGTTTTAGTGTGTGGTTGTGTTTTCGTGCTAACCTTGAAATAAAACTTGTTTAATCATTTCTCAGGCGACTCGAAAATGCAACAACAACAACAGCAGCAGCGGCAGCAACAAGAGTCGATATATATAGCATTAAATGGCGCATTATAAATTTAATAATTTTGTAAGCGAATTGCATTGGAAAATTTTTGTGCTAAACGCAATTAATAAAATCTCTCCCTCTCTCTCTTTCTGTCTATTTGTCAGGTACAGTTGCATCGAAAAAGTAATTTCCGCATTGAACCGTTATACACTTATTCTACATATACATATATATATATATATATAGAGGAAAATGGCCGATTGCTCATTTGCCCGATGCCAGCAGGAGCGCCGGCTCATCAAGCGCGAGCTAATGAAGTGGTCCAAGGATATGCTGCACATTGTGGGTGAGTAGCCCAAAATGATTTACTTAACACCTGCCCAGCCCAGCACAGGCCCCACAGCTGCCCGCTCGCGCAATCCAATTAAAAGAGCCGCGCAACAAATTTCTTTGCCTTTTTCTATCTATTATAAGTTTTTTTTGTGAACAAACATTTCCACTGGCTGCTGCTGCGTCATCTTCCAGCAGCGCCTTAAGCCACACACCCACACACACACACAGCACTTGCATTAGTGTAAGTGCAGCAGTTTTATTGCCCTCGCTATGTACACGTTGCATGCCAACTAAATTTAAGTTGGTTCGAGTCGTCGCTCATATTAAGGCCGCAAATGGGATTTGCCGTTAAACGGTAAATGAAGTGTGCTGTCTATATGAAAAAAAGAAGCGGCTAAAGGAAAAGTTCGACATGGAAATTGACTTTAGTCCACCCTAATCAACATAAGTTGGGTCCTGGCTCAGGCTGGCCATATGTTTCAGCGCTGTGCACATAGCACGAAGGATATGCGAAAGTAAAATAAACAAAATGCAAAGCTCTGCCACACACACACACACACACACACATACAGAGACATGCATATATATATGTGTATATCTAGATATAGATACCAACAGCTTTCAGGCTAAAGCAAACACCAAGAAAAATTAACATAAATTGCATTTGTTGTTGTTGCTGTTGTTGCTTATTGCATTTCTTGCTGGGCACAGCAGCCTCTGCCCTTACCTCAGTCTGCAGCTGCCGCCTTTCGCCAGCCTTCGTTCGCCTTCGCCTTCGCCTCGTCCTGTGCAACACTCTCATTTCGGTTTTTGAGCACGTTTAGCACGTTGCCGGCGAATCGCCACAGTCCCCCAACTGCCTCACCTGCCTGCAAATGTTAAATGCTCATTGTTGTTGTTGCTGTTGCTGCTGTTGCTGTCCGGCTTTTTTCTCTGCTTTTTATATAAATTTTCCTCATTCTTTTTTTCTGCATATTTTTTTGTCTTGTTGCGCCCAACCCCAAGCAATGACGACGCCAACTTTGGGGCTCGTCCTTGCCCGCGTCCGTGTCTCGTGCACTCAATTACTTCCTCAATGCGCTCCATAATGCTTATCGTCCTTGTTTCTAGTTGACATTCCCGCACAGCCAGCCAGCAGCACTTCCAAGCCAGACTCCCTTTGCTCAAACCCTTGGCACATTTTTCCAGCGACAATTTTTGTTGGCGGGCGTCGAGGGTGCTGCCGTGGCGTGGCGTGGCGTTTGGTTAGTTTAGCCAAGTGGGGGCGGGCGCGGGTGGTGCGAGGTTTCGGCGTCGTTGTCGCACGAAGCTGCAAAAAAATTGTTGTCTGGCTTTCAGCTGGTGCAGCTTTAGGGTTGGGTTAGTTTTTAGCTGCATCAAGCTACGTGTGTGTGTGTGTGTGTGCCCAAAACGAAGTGCTATACGAGATAACGAAGCACACTTAAGCGCACGCACACAGCGACAGGATGACGACGACGACGACGACATATCCCTACGAAATATATTGCACAATATAAAAATGCAGACGACGACGACGACTGCCGAATGCGACGAAACTGCTTCTGCTGTTGCTTCTGCCTCCTGCCCCACGTGCTGCCCCCTTGCTCCTTCGCTCTGGCCCCGCCTGTTGCTCAGCCATAAGCCGAAAAGGCACCTACACCCGAATGCTGGCGCCGAAAGACGAGCCAACGAGCAGCAAGCAGCGCCAACGCCATCATCAGCTCGTCCTCGTCCACGTCCTCGTCCTCGTCCTCGTTCGCGTTGCTGCTGCTTTTTGTGGCCGATTTTCGACGCCGTCAACGCCGCTGCCGCCGTTGTCGTCGCCGTCGTCGTCGCCGTCGCCCACACCAAGAGTCCCACTTCCTCTCTTTCAGCCACTGCCAAAATGGGAGTCGAGTTTCCAACGAGCTACCAATTTTTTCTTGCTTATTTTTTCTTTTTTTTTTCCTCTGCCCACCCACCCAACCACGTTCGTGTTTTTGGTAGATCGAAGAAGATGCCAACAGCAGGCAGAGCGGGCTGACCCACTCGTGGGCATGGGCAAGCTGGCTCTCGCCTGTTGCATCTGTGGGTTAAGCCACCCGGCTGACTGTGCGCTGCCACGTTGGCAATGGCTCAATCAGTGGTGGCGTCGTATTTGATTGTAATGGGATATACCACTTGTAGATTCAGCTGGCGAAATTCAACGAATTTGAGCGCCCCACAAAGGGGAAGTTCTCTCCTGCTGGATGTGCGAGTGTGAGGCGTAATAAAAATGTAAATTCTGATAGAACTAAAAGGATTCAAGGAACGAAAAACACATACTAAATACAAAGCAACAAAATTTAATAGGAATTTGAGCTGGACAAAATACTCCAAATTTTAGAAGAATCTATTTATTTTTTAGAAAAAAAAAAAAAACAGAATAACTATAAAAAATTAAAAATAAAATATTAATTTTTTATAGTCAGAATAGAGATATTTTTTTATAAAATAATTTTAGGTTAAAAATAAGAAACGAAAAAGAATATATTTAATAAATATATAAAAAATTTAAGGCAACATATCAAAATAATAAAAAAATTAACTTTAAACATAAAATAATAAATAAGTAGAAAATAATTAAAATATATTATAAAATAATTAAAATATATATAAATATTAAATATAAAAAAATAGTAAATGTAAAAAAAAATAATATTTTTTATATTTTTAATAATAATAATAAAATTATTATAACATTTATTTTCTATCTACAAAAAAATAAATAAAGAAAATAATTTTTTGAAATTTTTTTTTTGTTTTCATGAAATAATAGTTTTGTGGCATAAATAAATACATTTTATAATTAAACTAATTTTAAAATGTATTTATGTCAGACATTTCTTTAGTCCATTCATTATTTAAAATGCAATCACATTAATTAGTTAATTAAAAACTTGTGTAAAAATCCTTTTTCCTTTAGCTTGGCAATTAAATTACAGCGAGCACATTATAAAAACTTTATTAAACAACTATTGCTTATGTCGAAAAAAAAGAAAAAAATAATAATAAAAAATAGAGAAAATTAAATAAAAAAAACCAAAGCAACTTTTGCGTTGGTGGAAGCGAGAACAAAAATTTCAAAAAAAAAAAATTGCGTGGCAAGGAGCAGAGCGAAAGTGTCTGAGCATTGTTGTGTATGTGTGGGGGTGTGAGTGTGTGTGAGTGTGTGTGTGTGTGTGTGAAGAAAAACGAATCAGCAGGTGCTGGGCTGCATTGTGGGCCACACTCGCACCATTTGGGCACACTCTATATATACTTGTAGTTAGTGCTATTCGTATATATTGGGCGAACGCATCTTTCGATTACAGCAACAACTACAGTCGTGGGTGGTTGTGGCGCCACCGTTTCATACTCGTGCACATGCCAGCTTGTCCTTGTTGTCGCTGTTGTTGCTGTAAGAAGGCATTTTTATGCGCTGCGCCTCTGCAAGCTCGAGGATGCAACAAGCGACGAGAACTTCGTCGTCGTCGCCGTCGTCAGCCAACAGCTGTGTACGTGGGCGGGCGTCCTAGACCGCAGGGCCGCACTCCAACCTAGTCGATGGTCCGCACCAAATCCTATACAGGATTTTATGCACTACGCAATGGGTGTCTCTGCCCGCTTTCCAGCCAGTCGCAGTTTTCCTTTTTCTTTTCTTCCTCTTCCTCTTCCTCTTCTACTTCTTCTTCTTCTTCTTTTTCCAGCTGCCGTCTTGCACGCTGCACGCTCCTTCTGCTAGCTGTTGTTGCTGTTGCTGCGCGCTGAATTTTTTCTGACGGTTTTTTAGGTTACATTTTTACGAGTTTTACGCTTCCACTATACGACTATTTCGCGCCGATGTCGTTTTTGTTGTTTTCGGTTGCGTTAATACACTGCGTGCAGTGGCCAAGCGAAGCATATTGGCACTGACTACATTACCATGTCTATTCCCTTGACTAGACATATCAAATGGCTTGTCTTAAGACTGAATATATACAGATGTAAGACTATTTTGTCAGTTCGTCACTCAGTCTTCTCTCATTCTATCAGTCAATCAGTCAGAAGTCTGCCTAATATTATGAGAAAACTAAGAAACATTTTTAAGTGATTAATCTGCTGAATTAAGCTGCAGCATGACGCTGATTGATGCTGATTGATATAATATTTGATAATATTTGATTGTCTAACAGATTGAGGAACTCGCAGATTCATTGTTGACGGATTGACTGTGTGACTTGCTAGCTAATTTATTGTCTTATGATTGACTGACTGATCAACTTACTAAATGATTGCTTAATAGCTTGAATGATTGACTGATGGATATCTTTACAGACATATTAATCGGAAGGCTAACTGTTGTATATACTAAATGGTGCAGCTACAGCAGCAGCAGCAGTCAGTCCGCACTTTTGATTGACGGAGTAACTGACAGACTAACTCAGCAACGTAGACTGAATGGCTTTTTGATTGATATATTAAAGGCAGACTCTGACTGACTGACTGACTGATTGACTGACTAAGTGATATATGAGCGATGATTGCCAAATTAGTTGACTGACTGACTGCTGGATTGCTTGATGGACAGCTTGGCAGATGAACTGAGCTGCAGTTAGACTGATTGACAGATTAATTAACACAGTCAATCAGTTATTATATCTGTCAATCAATAAGATAGTTAATCATTTAGCCAGCTAGTTAGGCTTATCAGACTGTCAGTCAGCTTGACTGATTGTTTGGCTGATATAACAATTGATTGACTGATTGAACGACTAAGACTGAGACTGATTGACAATCTAACTGGCCCACTGAGTATTTGTAATATGTTTCCTGAATCACTTCTTGCATAACAAAGAGAAGCCAGAGTAGCTGTTGCACGGGCAGAGCCCATTCGACATGTTAGCGCTTGTTATTGTTGTTGTTTGTGGCCAGGACGATGACGATGACGATGCTGAAAGTAACGAAGGAGCCGCAGCCACTGTCGCTGCCGCAATCGTTCTTCGGACGAGGCGACGGCGCTGCAATAGCAAAGAC